ACTCGGCGTTGCGTCAGCCGCTGCCTGCCTTGGCCGGCGAGGCGCGCGCGGCGCTCAGGCTGAAGCTCAACAGGTGCCGCCTTGGCCGGCGAAGGGGGCGGGATGCGCTTTCCTCTCTCCCCCCCCCGACCCTTTGGGTCCCCCTCGGGCCCGGGCTCCAAGGGGGGGCGCGCGCGGCGGGAGGCGCTCTGTCTATGCGCAGAGGCACGCGTGTCGTGCCCGTGCGCCCTCGCCTCCCGGCTCCCTTCGCGGTCCCCTTGTCCCGACCGAGGCCCGCCTGGCACGCGCATCTCTCCTGGGGGCGCCTGGCTCGCCTCCCGGTTGCTCTCCTGCCCGGCCGTGGGCTGAGGAAGGCTCCTCTGGACCCGGCACTTGCCTGGGTAGGTCCTATCTTGGGAAAGTTCCTCTCGGGGACTACAACGCCCAGGATCCCCCAGCCAAGCAGCAGTCGTTCGGTTTAGGCATTCTGCATCGCACACCTGGAAGCCACCCAGACCCTGGATGGAAGGGAAGCTCCCTGCAGTTATTGATGAACAAGAACCTCCTTGATTTATAACAGCCACCAAGGCAGCGGGGCTAAATAGCGCTATAAGATGATATTGGCCTCATAATTTGAAATCATAAATGCACATTTTAAAACCACAATTCCCCAAAGAGCTTTCTCTTTCTTATCCTCTCTCTTGGTCTGAAGGCAAGAGGATTCCATGGAAAAGAGAAGAACCCTGTAGGGAGATGGACTGACTCCCTCAAGGAAACCCCAGGCTAGGGTTTCCAAGAGACTGGGCAGGGCGGCTGAGGACAGGACAGTAGGCTCATTCATGGGGTCACCATGAGTTGGAGGCAACCAGACTGCATCTAACAACACTATTAACGGGGTTCCCCCAAGAGCGTCTTGGGGTGCTAGCCATGGTTGCTGCTCAAAATGCCTTTCTACCATTCAGACACAGCTGTTACTATTACATGTATTTTCCCCCAGACATAAATATCCTGATTTTAAATTGCAAAACACACATACATTCCAAACAAAATATCAGTAACATTTTGTTCACTGACATCATAACTCAATGTCTGCAAACGTGCACATGTTCCCCTTTGGGAAAAGCATTTTCTTTCTTTCTTTCTGTGACAATGGGACACAGGGTCCTCCTCCACAGTCATTACTGCAACATCAGACAGCAAAGGCGGAGCACCACGGAGCCAAAGCACCCTTGAGGAAGAGGTAGGGGAATGAGCTGGTCCTGGGGGCAGGGACGGGGGGGGCGGAGAGAGCACGAGCGCAAGAGGGGCGCTGTTCTGGTGGATTCCTTGCCAAATGGTGGGTTTCCAGGGGATGGTCTCCCCCCCCCCTCTGCCCCACATCTCTTTTCTGCCCCTTCTGCATGTTGAGTTTTAAACAATGCCAGCTGCTTTCCACCACCGGATCTGGGTTGGTCCCTCTTGACTCAGCCTGTTGCAAGTTACTGGGAAATTGCCCTGTGCTAAACAAAGCGGAAAGGTGGCGGGAACGCCGCCCAGGGCAGCTCTTGGCTTTGGTTGGCAGTTTTGACTGTATCCATAGCTCGGTTAGGGTCTGCAAGAGGGGCCCCTGGTGTCTCAGCAAAGGAGCCAATGCTTGTCTCACGTCCCCTCTGTGTCATGCTTATAACCCCCAACTGGAGCCACTGGCCACCCAAACAGCTGCAGGTTTCTCAATTATTGTTATTATTATTATTTTTGCAGCCAGGAGACGAGAGTGTAAAAAAGGCACACTCTTTCAGTCATATTCTGTCTGCAGGCATGGTCGGCTAACGTACGAGGCACAGAGAGGCAGACCGTGTGGTGGTTCAAGACTGAATTTGGAGGCTGCAAAGCCAACTTCAGATCCTCATTGAACCATGAAATGTAAGAGCGATGGCTGGGAGCCAGGCGGTCATAGGTCTGTAGGGAGGAAGGGAGCCACATTACTTATGTCGCCTTGAACTCAAGGGAGGAGAAGCAGGATACAAGTGTGACTAAAAAAATAATTCAGTTACTGGGTGAGGTTGCTTTTGGTCTATCCATCAGGACTCTTCTTGCGTCTGTGCAGGTCCCAGATTCTTCCGTTGTTGGCTTTGGGGCAGTCTTGCATCTTGGCTACGTGCATGGGCTTGAGGGGAAGTACCTGCCCGGCACGCCAGTTCCTGAGGTTGCACTGGGAACAGGATGCCATGAGCAGAGTTGGAGCTGGCTGGTCGGGAAGCAGCACAGCAGGGGCCTGGGAAAGGCTTAAAGTAGCCTGGCGCAGCCCACATTGCCTGTTTTCCTGGTATTGTCACCTGTGGCATCTCAGACTCGGATGAGAGGAGGGGAAAAACTTCCACCCAGGAAGTGTGTTTTGCATTGTTCTGCACCCAGCAGGGTCCTCCTTTGAGTGGTGCAAAGCAGGAGTGGCAAAGAGGGGCTGCTGGCAAGCGGCCGACGGACCCTGTAACTAACTACCCAACAGTTCTCAGGTTATAAGTTTCCGGGGAACCAAAATATCACAGAGCAACATCTTGCTGTGTGATGCTTTTTCTCTTGGTCTCTGCTGTCCCTAAGTTACCTCCTTGCTGGAGTGTCTGATATTAACTGGGCAGGAACAGCTCTGGAAAATTGCCAGGCAGACCCCTTCCCCCTTTTCACTGGGATTCAGTTACCTCTGGCTTCAGTCTGTGAATGTTTTTCTTGCCAGTCTGTTTTTAATTCCTCCAGCGTTTTGCTGACAGAGGCGGAGAGCGCTTTCCCGGCTGGAGAATGGGAATCCGAGGCAGCGTTCATACAAACACCACTAGCATAAGTTGAATAAAACCCTCAAAGCATTTCAAATACACCGAGAAGAGTTTGGGAAATGGCGTTCCACTCTGTAAAGCTGAATGGAGCCAGGTGTGTTTGTGCACGAAGCCCTCAAGGAGTCTTCTGCAGGTTTTTAATCACCGATGGGATGAAAGAAGCGCTTGTGTGGATGATACGCTTTTCTTTCCAGGGTGGTTCTGGTGTTTTCTTGGTTAGCTCTTCTCAGATGTTCCTTGTAGCACTGCTGACTTTAAAGCAGATCTCATTAGCACCTCATTACAAATGAGCTCCTGTCGGTTTTTGAGAGCTGGGCAGATTGCTTTGAAATTTCTCAAAAGTTGCACGCAGTTTATACAGAGCCCGGGGAATGATGGTTGGTTTTGGGGGAAAAATCTCTTCTGGTTGATATGTGGCTGTCCTCAGAATGGACAACTCTTTGTTGTTTTTAAACATTAATGCCTATTGCCTCGTCAATGTATGTGACGCTCTGTAGAATAGTATAAGAAAGAAGAAAAGGAAAAATTGTGTGGGTAGGTAACAGGAGAGAGAGGTGTGCAAGAACAGTCACACATGCTTCGTCTTGCTTTATGTTGACATGAAGACTGTGGCTGTGTTGTTTTCTTGTTGCTGCCAAGCCCCAAATACTGCCTCTGGCTTGCCTTGCTAAATATATGCACTTATGGCTCCAGTTGTTAATTTGGACAGCAGATGATCCCACAGGCCCCGCAAGGGTGGGCGCTGACAGGAGATGGGGGTGTGTGGAAGGATCATTCATTTAGTCCTTCCTGTAAGCTGAGACGGTGGGCACCCAACATTACAGGGCCAGCCCAGATGTTTTGCTGCCTGACACGTGGCGCTCCCCATCCAGCCAAGTCAAGGAATGCTGTACCTAAAGGTGTGTGCTGTGCATGTATGTGAAAATTTGTGTTTCACAGCCCATGGTGTGGCAAACTGGTTGGCCTTGAACAGGCCATAGAACCCTGTATTCCCTTGCTGAAAGCCAACTAGCTATTGGCACAGGAGGCCGAAAAACCCTGCAAGCATCTCTTGACTCCCGAGCAGTAAAAAGCACAATAAGAATAAGTTACAAAGCATCTGCTTCCTTTTCATAACACTGTAAATGTGCCTCCCGAGGCAGCTGCTTCTCTCTGCCTAATGGCAGAGCCAGCTCTGCAACATTATAATGGATAGGATCAGCCAGCAGATGATCAATGAGGACCATTTGCCAATGCCACCTGTCATTCTTACCATGGTCGACCTCAAGTGTCGTACAGCCTGTATCTTGGCAACTTAGGCAGAGGGTTTGTCTGTATCTGTTTAAAACTTCTGCCTGCTAGCCCAGGGAAAACAAATGAGTCGGGGAATTGGGCGTGTGGGTGCCGCACTGCTGCAACAGATGGAAGAGGGGTTGTTTTTCCTTTTCGCTGACTGGCTGAGGCAGTTAGCTGCCTCTGCTTCTGCTTGCTCTGTGTCACGGGCCAGGACTTTTGCCCCCATCAATTCACGCCTGGGTAACTCTTGCTTCCTACGTGGGTCTCGCCAAGAGGAGCCAGTAAATTGTAACTGCCCAGTGAATAATTTCCGTTTGCATCGGGGACATGTGAATTGGCAGGGTTGTCCCCACCCCACCCCGCTGTCACACTGTGTGCCCAACAGCTATGCTTGTGGGTTATTCCTCTGCCCCTTTTCTCTGGATGTTTCTGACAGATCCTCCAGAGTGGTAGGAAAGCTCAGAAACCATCTCGTCTTCAGGCTGGAGTAGAGCCTTGGAAAATTATCTGTTTGGATTATAGTTGCCACCTATAATCCAAACTATGAGAAGCCATTGTTGGATGGGGTGGGGGCAATCTGTAGTTTAAAAAAAACAAAGCTATGTTTTCTGAGCTGTAGCCTTAGGTCCCTGCTTTCTAGGGGGGAAGGCATGGTCTGAAATCTCTGACAGGTGGAAACTCCTGGCATGTGTGTGATAGGAAAGGGGGGCAACAAGAGGTGAGAGCTGGAAGACTAAGTCCTAAGGGAAAAAATGAAGGCCTTGGAGAGGTCTGAGATGACAAAGAGGTGATAAGATAGGTGTCTTCAAATATTTGAATGGCTGTCATGTACAGAACAGAGCAAACATGTTTCCTGTTGCTTCAGAGAGAGAAGGCTCCAAACTGGTGGGTTCAAATTCCAAGGAGAAGAATTTAAACTAAATGCAAGAGCTGTTACATAGTGAAAGAGGTTGCTTTTGATAGGAATGGACTCCTTTGTTACAGGCTTTTGAAGCAGTCTGGATAGCTAGCTCAGGTGTTGCAGTAGTGCATTCCTACAGTGGCAAGTGTTGGACAAGATGAGATGACTTTCAGGATATCTTCCAGCTGGGAAGCAGGGCTGAAGAAGTAAGCAACGGTTGGAGGACATGAGAACTCAAGTCCCACTCCAGACAGTCATTTCTTGTGATGCTGTCTCAATAGCCTGCACTCCATATTTTTCCAAAGCTGTGCACCCTTTTCTAATAAGTTATGCCTCATGAATGGCTGCAGCCATAAAGAGGCCACCTTTCCATGTCTGCCTCTCCCTGTGGGGACTCCTAATGGGCATAGCAGGTGGCAGAACAATTTGGAGAGAGCCCGACCTTCAGACTTGGCTTTTACCTCCTCTGTTGCTTTGGAGTGAGCTAACTTAATGGAAAGAAACAAATGGATTTTTAAAAAGAAAGAAGAAAGAGAGAGAAAATGTTCACCCTGCATTTTAAAACCTCTGAAAGCAATGGTGGCAAAATTCTGTTTATTTGCTTTTAAATCGGTATATGTAACACTGCTTGTGCCTAACCATTATTTAGTCTTCTGAGCCCTCTTTCTGTGCTCTGGACTTGTTTCTAACCAGTAGAATATGTTGGTGAAGATGCTAAGTTCTATCCACACCCACTTTCTGTATCTCTTGAATCTGTGTGCTTAGTTCATCCCTGTCTTCAGACACCCTTAGGATGAGAAATCCAGCAAACTCAAAATGTGTCCCCCCCACCCCATTTGGAGGCAATGATTATTTCTTCTTCAGACCCACAAGATACCACTTCAGGGCAAGCAGTATTTGCACATGTGTTTGTTCTTCATATACTAGCAGAGCGTTGTCTTAATTTCCGCAGCTAATTACATTTGGCTTACTACACGTAAGGGTTGGCACCAAGTAGCAAACCGTGGGGACTGCTGTCACAGCAGCAGCAGCTGCTGCTTTAAACCAGCATATTCTCCGTTATTTCCTTGAGTAGCCCATTGTAAGAGCCCTGCTGGAGCTCAAGGCGGCATACCTTCCTTTCCTCCTCCCTAGCTTTTCACAAGGAACCTATGAGGAAGGAAAGTCTGGCGGAGAGAGTGTCCCAAGGAGTTCCTGGACAAACAAGAGATTTAAGCCAAAGCCTCAATCTAGTCCTAGTCCAGCATTCTAACCATC